TAAAGTATAATGAATAAAGTCCAGTTGCTTTTGTGTTGAACTTTTTTGAATTTGTCATTATAGCCACTTTTACCTAGTAAATGATACAATGACTTGCCTTAGTACTCTGCTGCCATCTAGTGGTTAAAAATGGTACTGTTCAATTTTTTTCAGTCAGAATGAATGAAAACGGTCATATTTCAGCCAAAAAGTGGTTTATAAATATGGGAAAAATCCATAAATACGTCGTTTCGGCCCATAAGTTGCAGGGCATGTAAATTCTGCAAAAAAAACTAGACTTATACAGCGAAAAATACGGTACTGTATGTTGTATATTTTATTACCCAGACCTAGAGATAAACTAGAATAAGAAACAAAAAGTAAAGAAAAATAAAGAAACAAAGTGAGATGTACCTGGGATCTTACCGAGGAGGGACGTGTCTTTGCCGAGGGCTGCAGCCACCATGGGATCCAGGCTGGGCTGCCCATCACCAGCTGGCAGATCGGGTCGTGTGTAGTCACGACTTTTATCATTGTTGTACTTAACGTTAAGGTTGACCAGCTTAGAAAAGTCGATACGCAATGTGCAGCATGAATTGTAGATATTTTGACCATCCAGTGCCTGGTGGGAAATGGAAGAAGTTCATAATGAACAGCTGTATTTCAGAGCTCAAAGAACATGTAACAATACATCTGAAGCCTGCCAGGAGAGAAATGAAACAAAAGTCCCCTCACCAGTTTAGCATGTTGTGCATGGGCAGGATCACTGTACTGTAGAAGAGCCTGAAACTGATTGTTCTTGGTGAATGTGATGATCTTCAGGACTGTGCCAAACTTGGAGAAAATCTTTCAATTGAAAGACAAATAAAAAAACAAAAGTTCAGCTGAAAGTTCTGAGGCAGAATCAATGATTAAATGACACTGCTCTGTGCCAACCTGCTGCAGCACATCAAGCGTTACGGGGTAGAACAGGTTGTCGATGATGATCCGCAGCACAGGACTTGGAGCTACATTTAGAACCTCCGGTACATCGGAGCTGGACGACTGGACCGCTGACACCGCCTGCAGCACCGCCTGAGTCCTCTGCGGTCAAACAACAACTTATCACCTACTGGTTTTCAACATATAATCCACTGATGATCCATTTAAAAACAAATGCAGCAGAACGCACTGATAGAGAACAGGAAGCTGTGCTACTGTCAGCTGCAGACTTTAAGCTCAAACTGTCCAATAATAATAATAAAATGCAATCAGTGCATTTCTGTTCTCATGCTAGACAATGTTGAAGCAGCTCTTCACCCTCTGACCTCAGCTGAAGGACCGTCTCCTCATCTCAAATGTCTCAACAATTGAAGTGTGTTCTGATTGAACGGGCCTGGTAAAGGCTGGTTCTGTGTCACAACTAGGGGTTGAACGACTACATAATTTTTAAACTCAACATTAACATAATAAAACTCGAGTAGAACCCGAGTAGTTGATGACGTCATAGAATCTCAAGATGAAAAAATAAATAAATAAAAAATAAAACCGCAAAAAAACGTAATTATTTTAAAAAAAAAGACCAACAAAACATTAGGATAGTATATTATGCTCCTACCATTTATCATACTGCAAATAAATCAAAGGAAAACCAAAACTATTAGTTATTATTATTAAGCTGCAAAAGTGAAAGAAACGTGCAGCACATCAAAAATGAAACTAAACAGTGGGGCAGACGACCACCTCGCACCACCGCCAGCTGTGCTGCGCATTAGGTTTAGGTTTAGAGATCAATGTGTTAATAGATTTTTTATAGGTTTCGAGATTTATATTTGTTGCTTTTAGTTTGTGAAACAAGGTCAGAGGAAGCTGGTTCTGGTTCGGTCATTGGACCCAGTGTTGCACCATATTCTGTGACCTGCAACAGTGCATGCAACACCGTCCCCTACAGTCACAATATACGGTGGTCACAGAATATGGTGCAACACCGGTTCGCAACGCGCTCCAAACAGTCAGGAAGTTGTTCATTTTCTGTTTCCTTACGGTAGTTGAAACGGAAGATTCATCTTTAGTGAAATATTTCCAAACTATTGATGCATTTCTACCTGTTTGCCAAGACTGGGCCTGCTCCGCTCAGTCCATCTGCTGGGAGGAATCCATTTGTTAGCTTCTACTAGTAGCCCGGTGCAGATCATGTGACACGTGATGCAATGATGTAACTGCGACGTAATGACGTCACTGCAAATACTTGACGTGAAATGTAAAAACTCGATAGATGTCCTAGGAATCGCCCTGTCGATTACTCGAGTAGTCTGTTAAAGTCCTAGTCACAATCCAATTGTTTTGAGAAAAATACCATCCAGCAGGAGCCGTCAGCCACGGGTAATGCTAACAAGAACAGCCGATTTTATGTATGCTGCAGAATACAGAGCAGGACAAAGATGTTGTCTGAAGCATCTTTATGACTGAAATAAAGCTGTGACCCAGAAGTAACGCGTCAAACTTTGTAGGTTTATTTAAAAACATAAGCAGGTCTATTCTTTGCTGTTGCTCATCTTTGAATCAATAACAGATAATCTGGTGCAGTTGATTGCAAAATTACAACTATAAAATAAAATCTAGAACATGTGATGGGAACCTGGAAACTTAAGGAGGACAGTGCCCCCTTTAGCTTGGCTACAATAGAAGTCCCCCCCCCCCCCC